TATTTCACATCAAGGAGCAGCTTCCAACCCTGCACACAAGTCAGGGTGCAGTGAGCACCAGGTCAGGATTACATTGGCAGCATTGCTAGTGCTGGATCAATGCATGCACTGTGGCTGCTGCTATTGAATGTATTCAAATACCTGGAAAACAGCACAGATCTGCAAGTGCCAGGTCAAATCAGTGAAGGTATTGCCTGTCATTCATGGCCCTTGGCTCCTGGCATAACCAGGGCAGCTAATGCTGGAAAGGCAGAAAACTTTGTTAGGTAAAAGCTACATCATAATTTAACAGAGTAGTCTTTACACTGTGAGGAAAAGGATTTTTCATACAGACAAAAGACAAAGACCTGGATCTTATGGTGAAGCTTCCCATTCCTTTTAATTCTGTCTCCATTTAAATGAAATAAGGGGGACCCATTTGCAGCCAACAAAATTAGCTAAAAGCTATTCACATAAAGACAGAGATTTCAATGAAATAGATTCCATATATTATCTCATAGGAACAGTTGTCCAAAGTTAATTTCCAGGTTAATAGGATGTTATTGCCATTTTCAAATAAAGTAATTATAAGTAATATTCTTATATTATTGATAAGGAGGATCACACTGCATTGGATTGTCAGCTTATTTTGTTCGGTGTTCTTAGTCAAAGGGTATCTGGTGCAAATCATTTTGGGCAAAGGTGGAAGATGCCTGCTCATAGGAAAAAAAAACAGCTCTTAGAAGTAAAAGGTAGATTTATTTTTTTATTAAATTTCTGAATAAACTCCACTCCTTACTTGTGAGATGTGCAAAAATTATTTTCTGGCTAAACATATTTTATCAGTTTTTCTGAACTGAAAAGCAGAGGTAAAATGAGATGTTAATTATACACCAGGAATGTTTTGCTGTAGATGTCGAATGACCTCCATGGAGCATGTGTAATATGTTAACCTATGAGCTCTTCCACAAAATCTTGTTGTGGAAACTCCCATAATATTTCTATCTCTTTACTGCAAGATGATCTACACCATATAGGCAAAGTTCTCATCTAGGAGAAACATTTCTCAAGGGGAATTATCATAACATATGAACTAGAAAACATCACTTTCCCCTTGTAAAATGACATGACTGTAACGTATGTCCCACTCCAATTAGAAACTGTCTTTTTTTTTTATTATCATTATGTCAGCCTGCACTTGTGAAAGCAATTTTGACAGATCTGGGGCAAATTTAAAAGCAAAGGATACAGCTAGCCTTAGAACTTACAAGCAGGCATTAATTTTGCAGAGGGGATATTTTCTGTCTGTTTGAAGAAGACAAAAAACTAAGCAAATCCCCCTTACTCACACTACTTTGGTGGATGAACGCAGATGTGTTTCACAACAGCAAAATAACCCTACTCAGCTACTTTGAATGGCTTACTAGACCAGAGTAATGCAAAGTTTCTGACTTGACATTGTTCCTGTCTGATGAAATCTCCTCCAAGTTTGCTATTTCTCTAAGGTGACTGATCTAGCAGAAGAGGGCTTGTGATTGTCACTGCTGGAAAAGGTTTACTGAACAGGATGAGTTGATTTCAGCTGTGGTCGGCCATCTGTCACAGGCCGCGCAGGGAATCCTGACCTGGGAATGGACTTTATGGTGATGAGATCCTGATGTTGCTATGTCTTTGTGGATCCACAGCACAGATTTGGAGTACAGCAAGAGGGAGTCAGTTCCTGACATTCCTGTTCACAAGCCTCCAGTCAGTCTTCGGATTTATGGGAGACATTACTTCAAACCCCCCCAGTGCCAACAAACCTTTTCATCCCTGAGATGAGCCACACCTGTGGTTCATGTTTAATCCTTAAGACCTGTGAAAGCTTTGACATGTGCCTAAATAATGCTTCACTTTAAAAGGTATAAAAAATGACCTTGTAGTGCAGCCTTCCCAGTCACTGGCATGTATTCACCAAGTGGGGCAACATAAATAAGAAAGTGGCAAAGGTCTCTGTTGATTTCAATCATTCTAGGCTATGAAATCCTTGATAAAATTCATCCTCTGGGGGCTGATTCAAAGACTCAGATGCAGAATACACCTGTCTTTAGAGGATTCTGGGTCCAGCCCATGCCAAGCAAAAATAATAGCAAAGTCAGACTAAGCACTACTGATTTAAAGCACATGCTACCGTGCTCCTTGGTACTGGGGAGGAACATAAAGGAGTGGACTTCCCGATCCCAGTTAAGCTGTGTTTGAAGTGCACAGGGTATTTTAGAGGTGTGCTGTACACAAGTATGTGGCATTCCTTCACACCCAAATGCCATCCTTCACATCTCAAGACCTGTGTTCTCCTCAGCTCTTACATCAAGCTTGTTCTGACAGTAGGTTTGTCTTCAGTCAGGGCCTTGCCACAGGGATGGGATGGTGCTGAGCAGGACATAGACTGTCTCATGCTCCACACAGAGCCTCAAAAGCACACGAGGAACACAAAGGAGTACTTCTCACTGTCAGCAAGTGACGCTTTGTGTTTAAGATTAAAGTTTTTAATTAAAATGGGCATTTCTGGCCTGAATATTGGCAGCCCCAGGACTGCTGAAAAGTGACATCATTTATGACTCCAGCAGTAGGGAGTTCACTGTCCATGATCATAAAACATTCCAGTCTTGATTTGATATCGATTTAACAGTCAGCATCAGTTTGGCCTTTAATATTAAACAAAATATGTCAGGCTGAAGCATTAACAGTATTCTTCCTCTGGGCTTCTCCATGGATACTTCTTGATCCCCCTCAGAGAGCAGGCTTCAGACCTCCATCCTGTAACACCACTTCTCTGGAGCAGTTGTCCCTGTTATTCCACACTGCCCCGCACAGTGTAATCCGGCACTCTTTCACCCCTAACACATACAAAGGCCATTTCTCCAGGAGTCCTCTGTTACAGAAATTACCAGACTGGTGAATCCAGTATTCATTGCTTTCTGCAGACACACTGCTAGTTTTTATCCCTGTGCGCAGCCCTCCCTTTCCAGCCGTCCCTGTTCTAATGGCTTTAGTCTATTCTTGAAAGTCTCATTTATTTTCTTGCTTCTTTTTGACACGGGTGATACAACACATGACCTCTGATTTGTCTGTCTCTTGCCCCCATGTTTCTGATATTCATTAAGGAGATGTTCACTTTTCCAGCTTTGCTTTGCCCCTTAAGCGAGATACACTGACTCACATCAATGTCTCTTTTAATGGAAGTTTCTTACTCCCATATCTGAATTTAATCTCCAGTGTTTTTCTTCCTGGCTTTAGCTGTAATTCTTCTACCATCTTTTGTCCTTCTGTTTAAAATTGACCAAACCCATGCAATAGTTGTTGTTCTTTGGGAGAGAGGGAAAAGATCAGGAGGTAACTGGTCTATTCAGAAAAACAGTTGATCCTATGAGAACTCCAGAATTACACCCGAGATGACTCTCCTGACATCAGGTGAGGTCAGTTTTGACAACCTACAGATGCTGTGAGCTAAAATATCCTGATAGCAGGATATGAGATGTTTTTCTCAGTACCACGTCCAAGCCTAAATCCTTACTTAGATGGAGTCATTTGCTCACACACTTATTCATGCCACTTGCTGACGTCCAGCTCACAGTCACTACTGTTGGAGTGAGGGCCAAGAAAGGCAATTTTCACTCACAAATTTCCTCCCAGGCAGGGTTTAAATTCATTTAGATGAACCAGGCCTCCTGTTTTAGATCCTGGTTGCTCTGAAGTGATACCTTACCCCACTCCCTGCAAATAAACCATGTGTCATTCAACTGTTTCACATCATCTACGTATTCCCCAAATGGTGAATAAGTTTAATTTTGTCCCGTGATTACTCAAAAGTGATTTGGGAAAGGACAGCCCAATACTGATATTTCCATCCTCTTGGGCTGATGACAGCCCATGATTTACATGCACGAATATGGTTCTGAGGGATCTCTGAACCGGTTGAAAATAAAGGTTTAATGATTGAATTATATATTCTCTCTCTGTGATAGAAAATACAGTAAGACAACTGACTCCGCTATCAGACAGATTACATAAGCCCAAGTTAAGTGGTAGAATAAAAATGAGTGATATTCCTTCTTGACTTAAATACAGCACTAAGTAGTATGCCCTTGAATCCAGCATAAAGCAATTTCCTCCTCTTTGGTAACAGCTAGGGGGCATTCCGAATGCAAATAGAGTCATCTTTGCATTTTTAATGTTTCTTATATACATAATTCACTGCCTGGGTTTAGAAACGTTATTGCTACCTCTTCTGTGCATTTAAATTATTTTGCACCTCTGAACTTTCATATTACCTTTAATGTCAGCTCTTCAAACCTATCTTGTACAGGCGAGCTTGTGCTTATAGCTCTTGAAATTCACAGATTGCACATACACACATCCAGGCACAAATACACTGCACTGTTTAACCTGTGCCATTTCACTGTGACACAGGGGGTTTACTAACTGCATGCATGGTCATATATACCAAAGCCCTGAAAATCAATAGGTAACAAATGGGAGCAAACCAAGAGCAATCAGTGTTAGAATATCATATTTGTGTGCAGTCTACTCTACATACATAACCCATGGGCATAATGCTGATTAATAGGGAACAGCGCTTTTTCTAAGTAACTTTAAAAAGAATAGAAATAATGGCTGGAAGAAGATACACAATGGGAGGAAATCCATCCCCATGCTAATGCGGGATTAATTAATGCATTTCATAAAGCCAGGAAGTGTGAGATGATTCCGAGCAAGCTTTACTTCATTGCATGTTTCAGGAGAGAGAAGTGGTTGTGGCCATCTCCTGTGGCCATGAATGTGCTTGAGAAATTTTTTTCTCCAGAGGAAATGGAGATGAAGGTTTATAACATCTTGACTCATCAAACCTCCTCAATCACAGGCTGACATTGACAACTGCTTGAAACCACAGATCTCAGGGAGGTGGCTAGGTAATGGCTTTGCTCATCTCTGCTCAAACTGATGAGGGTACATCTCTGTCTGTCCTTTATTTGCTCATGCAGGAAATGGTGCCAGAGACATCCTCTCAGTCCCACTCTGCTGCAGCCCATCAGAGTACATGTGGGGATCCAGTTGTGCTCCTTCTGCAGGGAGAGACACTTTTCCTGTGTGACAGCCTGAGAAGTGGAGTGAATGGGATCACCTCGTCTCCTGCTCCACCCCAACCCTACCTCACCAGTGAGATCACACAGGGAGAATCTATGGCAGCCTGTACCAAGGGTTTCCCTGGATACGTCTCCTAAGAGTGGCAAAACTGAACCTGGACTGAGTTAGCAACAGTGTTTTGAATGCTGACAACTGTACAGTCAGCCTTACTGCTACTCGGATCATAAACTGTGCTTTCTAAGTGAGACTATAAACAAAATATATAGCCAGCTTCTCTGCTGGTTCGATTCTGCTGACTGTTTCTCCTAGCAGATTCAATTTGGAAACTGAAAATCAAGACTGCTGCCTTCTGCATCAAAGTCAATAATAGAGGTCCTGCCTCTAGCTCTGATTTCCCATCAATTTACACCAGCATCAGAGTAATGAAACAATGGAACATCCATCCGCAGCTTGCACAGATTTTGTGTACTTCACACAGTCTGCTGTAGCTCTGCAAAGCCAGTGCAGGGGCTATAATAGGGTTGACAGTCACAGGGATGTTGGCAAAATCCTGGAAGTGTTTTCTGGCTGCAGATGAGTGCCATATACCAAAGCTGTTGACTGCTGCTGCTGAAAACGAGGTTGCTTCTGGGCTGATTGTGCCCTGGCAGTCAGCAGCTTAGAGCACAATGCTATATCTTTTCCACTGAATAGATGGTGGGGTCAGTATCCAGTCTGATTTTTCTCCTCTCTGCTGAAATAATTACTACTGATGAAGTTCTAGTGGGAAACAAATTGAGTTCAGGATTTGTACTGATGCTACTGGTGGCACTGTGAGAAGAAAAAACATTCTTTGACCTGCAGTCTGGACAGCTGTGAGAAGTCACTAAGATGATGGGAACAGGGCTCTGCAAAGCTGGTCTAGCTGAGACCAAAACCTGGGACATGTATGGGATTGCATTGTGTGCCATCAGTGCACAAGGCTCCCAGCAGTGCCCACTGCAGTACATTGGAAGCTACAGTGGGAGCAAAGCAAAGAGCTCAGGGTGCTGTCGGGGATCCACGTGAGGGACAGCTGGGGCTGCCCACCTTCCCATCCCACTGCAGTGCATTACTGTCCTTGGAGTGTTGTAACTGGCCCTGCAGCCGCTCCAGGTCCATTTCCAGGTAAATGAAAATACATCTATTTTCATCACCTCAGTCTGACTGTGCCTGAAGCTACTCACCCTATTTGATACAATAGGTAGGGCAGCTACCTTTGTAATTGCAGCAACTGCTTCCCAAATGAATACCTGACTTGAGGTATTTGCTCAAGTTAATGTTTTGCTTTGCTGGACAAACCAAATGAAGAAGAAGAATTCAATTTGGATTGAATCAGTAGTTATTACTATTACTTTAAATGGCAAAACAAATATCCTCCTTCAACCTCTGCCCTAATAAAATGGATTCATTATACACAAAAAGTCCAACTTGAGATGCAAACAGAAAACCAAACAAAATAGAAGTTACTAGTTTTGTGTCCCTTGTACGAGAAAGCCTTGGGCTAGATTCATGCTGACTACCCGATAGCTTAGTGGTTAGGACACTCATAGAAAATGGGGAATCTGGAATCAGGTCTCATCCTCCCCTGAAGGCAGTCACAGTCACCTGTCCTCAAGGAAAGCCTTCCCTACCTGCAGTGTTATAGGGCATGGAGATAAGGCTGAATGCCATTTGCATTGCGGGGTGGGCAGCAGAGGCACAGTGGGTCTCTTTGGTTGGTGCTGCTCTCTCAGCATATACAGTATATAAAACCAAAATTGTTCAGCTAAAGATTCATATGAAAATCTGAACAAATTGCTAGGCTTCCTGGTTGGAATTTGTTGGAATTGGTTAATTGGAATTACTCTGCTTTGTAATTTCTTTTGTAAGTGGCTTGTAACGTAGCATATGTATCTGGTTGTACTAACAGCCACAGTGCTGAGCCACAGAAAAGCCTGTGTTTGTGCCAGATGTTAAGCCCCCCTCTGCCCATATCTCCTTTTTTCTCTCTGCTCTAGAAAGAGTTCTTCAAAGAGCGACTTCCTAAGGCACCGTGTCTCATCTTATTTATCTCTTGATTCTGCTGTCGTTTATTTCATTAAAGGTTATTTTTTTAATGAAGCACTGTGGGTAGGGAAAAATAACTTCTACCTTCTGTTCTAACTGATGAATGATGTGTGAACTAATCAGAAAGCTTTGCTATAGCCACCATTAAAGCAACAGATGTATGTGGCTCAGGAGAGATTTGTTGAACAGCTTCAACCTTTAAGTGCAGAGGATAAATGAGTGGTGACATCATTATACCCTGACAAATAGAAATTATATCATTCTCTTTTTTTCATTACTGATGGATGAGTTATTTCGATGGTGTTCAGTTTTATAAGATCCATTCATTGTCTCTAAAGTTAAAACCTTTAAGAACTGCAATGTGCGACTAACGGGGTTATAACAACTTGCACATGATCTGCAGCGTGCTGTCTTTTGAGCTTTTCTCTTGAAAGCTACTTTTAATAGCACAGTATTATGATGTGCAGTACAGTAAGACAAAAAGAAACATTTGAAATTCATCCATGGGTTCATTTTTCAATCAGCCACAAAACCAGCACATAAGGAGTCAGAGGACACTTGATGTGGTTATATGGCATCTCTATCAGCTGCTGGAAGATTGTATTTCTGCAATGAACTTGAAGCCTTAGAAGAAAAAGGTTTATTTTGCACAGCAGTTCTGTGCCATAATAAAAAAGCAAATGTTCCCTTCTCACCCATATCTTCCCAGTATATTTTGAGCTCCTGCCTTGTTTGATTGCATTTCTCATACAGTCACTAAGATGGATCAGAATTTCCCTGAAAATTTCAGTTATTACTGAAGATTGCATTTTTGCCACTTTTACTGCAGTTTACAAATCAGAAACTAAAAATAAAGTGTGCATCTGTTTGGATAATTTATTTTCCCAGAACAGATTAAAATGACAGAATAAATCTTGGAAGTTCTTAGAAAAGCTTTGGATGAGTTACAACAAGAGATGAAAACAAGGTGAGTTTTGCTTGGCTAGGACCTAAATGAGAAAATTAAGCTGATGCTGCGTCATGGCGAAGTTTGCAAGATAAAATAGGGGTCACTAGTGTGTACTGCAGAAGTAAAAAGAGCAGATTAAAGGTGGCATTTCCACCAGAAGGCCTTTATGTACACTGCAGGGTCAAAAAAGAGATCAAGGTTAGTTAGAAAGAGAGCCAGGAAGACAAAATTCATATAAAAGATCTCACAGGTGCTACCATGTTTTCCCTGCCCATGGCCACAGCCTGGAAAGCAAAGGCTAAATAAGTGTTCATCCTTGTACCCTGGAGAGGGAGGAGGCAAGACATGGTTAAGATGTGCTGGCAGTTCTCTGCATCTTCAGGTCCCAGGCAGAAGCTTTTACACCAAAGCTTTCCTACTTGAGAAACCCTCAATAAACAAAGAGACCCTGAATATGTGTTCTGATCCTCAGGAAGGCTGATGGGCAAATCCCAGCTGCAATCCACTTTGAAGGGATGCATGGCCCATCAAAAAGCTGGTGGCTTCCCCTGCTAGTGATGCCACAAGCATCAGAGCTGCTCCTGCCAAGAGTGGTAACTGGAAAATAGCAGTGCAGTACTCCTGTTATAGGGATACTCTGCTTAAATTTAGTTTAAATAAGTGTCTATGTATATCTATGTATGATTCTGGGAGTCAAATGTTGCTGTCAACCAGCTGCCTTTAAAATGGTGAATTATCCCAAGTGCAAGAAAAGGAATGAAGATGCAATTTAATATAAACATAGCAAGTTTAAGTGCTGTCACTAAACAAAATTAACTATGCCTAAATCCATTTTGGAGAAAGCTGTGCTTAGCTTCACTAGAAGCAATGCATTTGCTTCAGGAACCGCAGTGAGAAAGTTCGTGGCGTTTTTACAGGAGAACAGGGAGTAGACAATCATTTAGGTCCCTTCTGTCCCTAAAATCTATGAATCTAGGAAATGATGCCTCATTTCACAATCTAAGTCGTTAAAAACACACTTTCATTACTGAAGTAATCACATTTCTTGGAAATGTGGCTACTATCTGCTAAGATGATATAGCAGATAATCGGGGTTTTATTGAAATTCACAAAAAGAACAGGGTTTGTTACCAGAATTCTTCTTCTTTATTATTTCCACAAGCTCATTAGAACTCCAAAATATAGAAAAGCATTCAGTGTTATAATATAAAACTGACATAAATTAATTCACACCAAAGTAGCTCCTTGTGTGACCCCTTTTCCCTGTAAAAGCAAGGAAGGCATGAAGCACCCATAGGAACACAAGGTATGCCAGAGGATCACAGTCACATATATATACCTGAATAACACATGCAAAAAGAATTCTGGGGGAAGAAGAGGTGCTAAACATTAACTAGTGCTTCTCAATCATCTTAGACACATTTCAAAATACTTCTCAATGTTTTCTGAATACGAGGATCACTCCCATCACACAACTCTCTACCTGGAGGTCACATCCTTGCCTTCCACAAAACAAGAAGACCTTGGGGCACATCTGGGTTTCAAACAGGGCTTTTTCCTCACCTCATGGTACTGTGCTGGGCCAGAGAACTTTTTTCTATTACATCCCCATACATTTTGATGTGGAAGAGACAGAAAAGTTCTCTAAAAGCCTTAAGAGCAACTTAAAAGAGATACTGCTCGATTCCTGCGTACGATAAATGTGTGTTTAGAACAGAAAACATAAGCAGGCACTGTCTTTAATTTTGCCTCTTTCAGTGCCTAATGCAAGGGAGAGGGATCAATTTAGCTTGAATTTCTTGATGGTGCTGTAAAGCATGACCAATTAAACACATCTGATAAGCCTACTAGTAAACTCCAGGGTCAGTAATGCAAACTAACATTTACCTTCCTATGCCTAAGGCTGTACTGGCACAAAACTCTTCACAAGGACACTCCTGGGTAAATAATAAGCTCAACCAGAGAGGATGAATAACTGAAGAAAGTAATTTTTTATACTGAATAAGTACAAGGTAGGACTGAAGTAAATGAAACAATTCACTTGAGAAAGTAGGTTCAGTAGAAATTTCTGGTTTTGATGAGTTGTCTCTCCAAAGAGCTGGATGTGCTTTAACAGTATTATTTCTGATTTATCTGCTGTTGCCAGATAAATTTTCTTCTGCGGGGAAGAGCAGAATTCTCTTTATTTAATGTACCATGTCTGGAATGTGGACTAGATTCAGCTACATGTCGCTTATAATTATTTATGTAACTTATTAATCACTGGGCTGTCACTCAGCTGTTTATAAAACACAAAAGAACACTTGGAGCCTGAAAAATTACAGTTTTCCTCCCCTGCACCTCCCCAAAGGCCCCTTTGCACTTCTGAGGAGACCTCCATTTAAATTAAAATCTGTTGCCCAGTCTAAGTAACAAGGAACCCTGTAATGATAATTTAAAGAACATACTTGTGCTTTGTGATTGGAAATTGAATTATTTGGTTTAAGTTGCTGTAAAATTTTACTTTCAGCTTTTCTGGCCGATGGCCTTGGCTCATCGTTTATTTTTTTCCCCTAATGGGTCATGGATAGGGTCCCCCTCTTGCCTGCTCAGCAACCTGTTTTCCCTATACTCAGTACTTGGAAAACCGCACTATCTCCCAGACTGCTGCCTGTGGATCTTGCCTGCTTGAAACTGGCCAATGCATTCAAAAGTTAAGATGCTTATATACAGACATGCACACACCTATGTACACCCTGGTTTCACATGTCTCATTGCTCTCGTATCCCCTTCTATGATGGGTTAATCCGTGTGCTTTTGTGCAGCTCACTCTCCAGCTCTGGTGCA